CCCCCTACCCTTCCCCCAAAAAGTAGGCAAGTTTTGGGGGGGGGGGGGGGCGGGTTCTTTTTTTGTGAAGGCGGTCTTTCTTGTGTCCGTGGTCCAACCAATTGTTTTTTTTTTTTTGTGAAGGCGGTCTTTCTTTGTGAGCGGCGCGCGCAGACACAAAAGGAGACTGGGTGTCTCCACTGGACTCATGCACGGCCATCGAAATTCGGGGATGCAATCGGGAAAGCGCCAAGAAGTCCGGGCCGAGTATGGGATCCCACTTTTTCCCTACGAAAAGTTCTCTGCTTCTACTTTTTTTTTTCTTTTCAAAAGGGCAATGGCCTTGAGGTATTATCATCGGACTAACCAGCCCAGGTAAATTCAATCTTGTGTCTAATCTGACAACGGTGGCCTTTTCAGCCCAGGGTGGCCTGATAGCCTTAGGGTGGCCTGATAACCTTCAGGGATCCCCCACTGGGGGGCACCGGGGACCGAGCATCATCTGAGTAGCCAGTCGCTGTGCCTTCCTGAGTACCCCTGCCCCTATGAACGTCAGCAGAGACTGCTTTTTAATGCCAATTGGGGGGACCAACGGGCTATCTCTAGGTGGCGGGCACCAAGCATGCCCAGGAAGGTACATGAGAACCCAAGACCTCCTGAATGCCACTTGTGTGCCTTACCAACTGAGCTAGGCCGCTGGATACTTCTCCTACTTTCAAGGGAGTTTTACGACTTTTTGGTAAAAGTTCATAGTGGGATCAGCCCCTATTGCAAGGACCTACCCCGTGCAGCCCCTATTTCAAGGACCTACCTCGTGCAAGTGGGACCTAGCCCCCGGGAGTCCGGCAAGTTTCGAGGATTTTTCAACGTGGCCACAGTGCAGACGGCGCAGACGCGATATGTCCAGATCGGACAGATCAGATGGCAGAACAGCTGCGTACTCGAAACTACGTGCAAGTCCCCGCCACCGGCTTTCCCAAAACACAACGCACCGGCTTTCCCAAAACACAACGCACCCTGATTCTGAATGTATACAAGCCATCTTTCCGGCTCGATGCAGTCATACTCAGGGTACGTTGTGTTGGGGTGAAGACGGTAGTGCCCTAGTGGGACTTAGCCTCGGATCTCTTGCCTCTGGCCGTTGACCTTCGCCGTAATTAAATTTAACCCGTTGACCTTCGCCGTAATTTAATTTAACCCTTGGAAACAGTCAACCCCCGGGCAAGCGAGCTGTCGGTCTGCGGCGGGAAACAGTCAAGCTCCGTGGCAAGCGAGCCGTCGATCTGAGGCGGGGAACAGTCAAGCTGCGGGTTGACTGTGGCGGGAAACAGTCAGGCCGCAGAGTCGCTGGGGCGGGAAAAAGGGGCAGTCAAGCCTCCGTGGTCATATTTTGGCTGTGGAAAAACAGTCCAGCTTCAAGAGTCGTTTTGGCGGGGAACTATCACTACGCGGGCAATACATGAGCGGCTTCACATCCAAGTGACCCGGATGTGATGAACGACTGGCGGCTGGCGGCTGGCGGCGCTTGCATGACAAACACTTGCACAGCAGAGTTTAGGAGGGAGGCGGCGGCGGCCGTCGGCATCACCGACGCGGAGGAAGAGATGAGAGGAGCGGAGAGTTAGGAAGGGAGGAGAGAAGCGGGGGAAGCAGAGAAGCGACAGGTTCCACCGAGGAGGAAGAGCTCGTGAGGAGGTTGAGTGAGAGACTGGCTATGGCGGAAGATCCGAGGTAGGTTGGAAGGTTCTCAGAGGCGGCGCCGAGAGGAACAGACTTGTGTGAAGTGACAAGTGATTGCAGTGAGATACTCAATTCGTAATGAATATGATGATATGATCAGTCGGTGAGACTCCGACGAAACAGTCTGTCACAGCCACTCGTGTGTTGTCCTCTTCTCCCTGTCTCCCTGCGATTTACCGAGCAGTTGTGTTCAACGATATGCATATCTATATATATGTGTGACAATATGTCACAGCCCGTCGTTTGTTGTCCTCTTCTCTCTCTCTGCCTACGGTTTACCGGGCAGTTCTGTTTGTGACGATATATGTGTGACAATATATGTGACATATATACGGCCTTGTACGCAAGAGGTTCTGAACAGGGGGAGTTATAAGGAAGAAGAAAAAAAATTGAATTCAATTTTCCCTGGTTTCTTTTCTTTTTTTTTCCCTTTCTTTCCGCATTTCCGCTCTGATATTTTTGTGATAATATATAGAGAGATATGTAGGGTTCAGCCTCGTGCTGAGTCGGTGATACTCCGACGAAACAGTCTGTCAGAGCCCATCGTTCGCTGTCCTTTTCTCACTCGCTGCCTACGATTGATTTACAGGGCAGTGTGCGAGGGACTTCAGTTACTCGTCGATTCAGGCTCCTCCCGTCTGCTAAACCACTAGCAGGAAATGAACATGCAGTCGAATTAAAACGTTCGTGTGATATTGTATACAAAAATACACGTCTTCACTCGAATAGAACGCCCGGTCGCCATCGCTGTATTTAGACTGAAAGTTGCCCCAAATACCGCACGCAGGTTGACAAGCAGGAAATGAACATGCAGTCCAATTAAAACGTTCGTGTGATGTTGTATAGAAAAATACACGTCTTCACTCGAATAGAACGCCCGGTCGCCATCGCTGTATTTAGACTGAAAGTTGCCCCAAATACCGCATGCAGTTTGACAAGCAGGAAAGCAACATGCTGTCGAATTAAAACATTCGTGTGACATTGTATAGAAAAATACACGTCTTCACTCGAATAGAACGCCCGGTCGCCCTCGCTGTATTTAGACTGAAAGTTGCCCCAAATACCGCGAGCTGGAATGACCGCCGAGCGTTCTATTCGGGTGAAGACGGTAGTAACATGTGGATGCGGCGGCTTGATTGAGAGGTCGAGGTTGGGTTGGGTAAGGAAGTAGTGGGCGCGCACGCCACATCCGAGTCGTTTTGGTGATGAATGTATCTGGACGTAAGTGCGGTTCGATGAGTCAGACATGAGAGAAGTGGGTCCTCGTCATTATTACGAGTGTTGCCTCGTCTGAACTGTTTCCTGCTTTGTTGTCGTTGTTGTTGTTGTCGTCCGCTTTTTCTTGCTGTTAGCTTGTCGATATTCTTTTTTCTATTTTCCCCCGTAATTATGTCTCTCGCGTTGTCGTATGGTCTTCTGTCTGGAGTGCGACATAAATGGATTTTTAAACTGGACCGCTCTGGAGTCTGGACAAATTTTTTACTTTTCTTTATTATTTTAAACGAGCTTTTTTTTTTTTTAAGGAGCGGTTGGTGATTCAGTTTTCGGTTCTTATTTCGATTATGTTTTTTTTGGTATCATACTTGGATCGGTCTCGACGTCGATTAAGAAGTCCTCTTTGTTATTTTCTCTCTTCCTCTTTTTTCTTTTTGAAAAGGCGACGGCCGTCGGATATCATCCTTGAGCTGACCAGCCCCAGATGACTAAGAATTATTCTGTTTTTTTTGTTTTTTTTTCCTTACTAAGAATTATTTTGTTTTGGTCAGCGGATTGTGTCTACTTGGGTCTGTAAGTCAACAGCTCGTGGATGGACCGACTGAGCTACCGGTAGGCTCGTGGATGGACCGACTGAGCGACCGGTGGGCTCGTTGGTATTGGGAAAGTCCTTTTCATGGGAGTCGTCGGTGTGAACTCTCGCGAGACTGGGGGCCAGGTCCCACTAGCAGCGTCGAGTTTCCTCAACGCCTGAATCTGGACGTGTTTGCGGCGATGTGCGGTTGAGGAAACATGACGCCATTTCAGCACATCTCCACGAACACGTCCAGATTCAGGCGTTGAGGAAAGTCGACGCTGCTTGTAGTGGGACTTGGCCCTGGCTGTATGGGACCGCAATTACCGACAAATGATTTTTTTCTTTTTCTCAACAAAGGATTTTTTTCTTTTTTTCTCAACAGATTAATTTTGGAACGGTGAGTATCGGCCGATTTAGACCTTACCAATGACGGCGCACTCACAGTAGCACTATCTCAAATGTATCGGACCGCATTTACGGCCCCCAAGGGAATGTATGTGACCGCAATTACGTCCAGAAAGGAGTGAAAAAGGTCCTACCGTCTTCACCCGAATAGAACTCGCGTTCACCATCGCTGCATCTAGACTGAAAGTTGCCCCAAATACCGCTAGATTGACCGGGCTTTCTGTTCAGATGAAGAAGGGTAGTGTGAGTATGCCTTTAGTTTCCATGGCAGACAGGAAGCATAGCACAGTTTACGTTTCATCTGATTTTTTCTTAAAGTCCTCTCCGCGAGCCGCCCTATTTTTATATTTGATTATGCCCATTTTTATTTTTGATAAATATATGCTAATTTTTCTCTTCAATTATGCTAGTTTTTCTTTTTGTTTTGAGTTGTGCGAATTTCTCTTGTTAATTATATATGTCCCGCTTTGTCATGGTAAGCATCTTCTTTATTTGTTGTTCGATTGTCTTAATATCGTCGAAACCAATGTAATTTAACGACTTTTTTTTTGTTTGTTTGTTTGTTTGTTTGGTATTTTTCTTCCTTTCTTCTTTTCTTTTTTTTCCTTCCTTTTTTCCCTCCTTGCGCAGGGGCCATGGTACTCTTCTCTCTATCCTTCCTATTATAGAACGGTATCCCGATGGACTAGATTTTCTGATGGACGACAACTGCTTTTTTTGAGGTTGGGATCGGGAAGTGTGTTCTTAGCAAGCAATCCGTTCGAGTGATTATACGCAATTTTCTTTCTGTGATAGTATGTATGTGAATAGTTGTTTTTTTTAATTATTAATTTTCTATTATGTATGTAAATAGTTCTAAAAGAAATCTGCCAACTATTTTGAAGCTCTGGGTCCGTCCTGTTTACGAATCGAAATTATTATTGTTAACTTATTATTGGGAGGAGGGGGGTGGGGGGGGGGGGGGAAGAAGCGGTTCATCTGAGGTCATATCAGCTTGGTTTGTAATACGCAATACGCACCGGAGGGGCCTCGCTGCCCCACTCACCACGTGGACAAAAGAGAGAAGTAATCGCGATGTATCTTCCGGTGTTCCAACGGAAAATCCATTCTCATTTTGCACATTTGGTGAGTGGTGGAGCGAGACCCGAGATCTCGGGATGACCGTTACTCTCTGGAATGCATGCACGTCCTGTGGTGTATCTTTCCATGTTCTGGCGGAAGATTCGTTCTCATTTTGCAGGTTCTGTTGTCCCCTTCGTGTTTTCCCTACGATTTTCGCCCCGTCGTTTCCTGTATTTGATTAGGAGAGGGAGGAGGGAGTCTTGAACCCTAACCACGAGAGCTTAGCGTGCTTCTTCACTGCCCCGAGGTCAATGTAATTATCGTTGTCGTCAACTTGTCGATAGTTGTAAGGCTTGACGCGCAGGAAAAAAGGAAATGCGAAATTTAACCGATGTGTCATATACGTGACAATACACTGTGTCACGATATATATATACATACATCACGTGACAATATATACATACATATGTGCTCGGTCATACATATGAGTCGGTCAAACTCCGAACGACACACTTCTTCACAGCCTCGCGTCCGTTCTCCTCTTCTCCCTCTCTGCCGACGGTTTACCGGGCAGTGCAGTTCTGTATATTATGTGTATGTTTAATATCTGTATAATAATATAATAATTGTACATGTATGTATGCGCTCCGATTCACAGCGTGAGAGTAAATGTATGTATATGTATATCGTCAAACAGAGCAAGCTGCCGGTGAACCGTAGGCAGAGAGGGAGAAGAGGACAGCAAACGTCGAGTGGCTGTGACAAACTGCGCTCCGATACATGGTGCGACGATATATGATATATGACACACGGGGATGGGGGCAGCCGCCGCTCAACCTACATCCACGTGGGCGGCCTTGTACGCAAGAGGTTCTGAACAGGGGGAGTCTTGTAAGGAAGAAGATTAAAAAACGAATTATATTTTTCTTGTTTTCTTCTGTTTTTTTTGTCTTTGCGCTCTGATATTCATGTGACGATATAAATATATAGTGGATATCTACTTATCGTGATAGATTATCGTGATTATAGAGAACTGTCCGGGTGAAGAGTAGGCAGAGAGGGACAAGAGGGAGAAGAGGACAACAAACGAGGGGCTGCGACAGACTGTTTCATAGGAGTCTCACCTACCGACTCATCAGGAGGCCGAGTATATTCACAAATTCAGTATATATATATGCATATGCATGACTCAGTAGGTGAGACTCCGACGAAACAGTCTGTGGCAGCCCCTCGTTTGTTGTCCTCTTCTCGTTCTCTGCCTACGACTTACCAGGCAGTTCTGTTTGACTCTGTATGTATACCCCCGTATATGTCATCCCCATCACCCAGATATGGATTAATAGCAAAAATATTGCTCCTTCCAAGTTTGGCAGCAAAAATGTCGTTCGTTCGAAGTTTCCTTTGTAAAAATAGAGTTTTCGTTGCAGGTTTATCGGGTTCCCATAGTTTGCCACCAAAAATACCGCGTTTTGACCAGTTTCACAGCAAGGACTCCTAGGCCTCTGGCCTCGGGGACTCAGGGACTCAGCGTTCTGGCCTTAGGCACTCAGCGTTTTTTTTTTTTTTTTTTTTGGGCCCGAAATGCCTCGGCCACGGCCGCGGGAAAAAAAAAAAAAAAAAAGAAAACCCGTGGCCACGGGCCACGCCCGAGATGCTTCGGCCATGCCCGCGGGGAAAAAAAAAAAAAAAAAAAAAAAAAAAAAAAGAAGGGAAAAGCTGAGTGCCTGAGGCC